GGGCTGACCCGCCGCATGCAACGGCTGCGGCGTGACCCAGTTTCGACGGACACGCGCAACGAAGCGCACCTGTAAATTTGGCATTTGCTCAACTGTGCTGGACTAAACACTCAGGTCAGACCGTTTCTCTGACACATGGTGGGGTAGTTACCAGCACTTCCCAGATGGCCGCTTACCCTACTTAACGTTGAACTTCACATGAACCGATTAATCTACTCAATTCACTTTTATTACTATTGCTGGCAGTACAAGTTGAATGAATTATTTTATATCATACCAAAAACAAATGAGTGTACATCTTAATTTTTAGAATTCTGAACACGTATTTGACGATTGAGAAAGAGATAAAAATACAAATGAAAATACGAGCAGTTTTACGAAATCCGACACGAACACAAAAGACCAAAAGGGAGGGGGGAAAGAAACAATTCACAGACTAAAAAAAAAGCAGTCACACATACGTTTGAGATTATAATGAAAGGATATAATTACAACAGGAAAGATATTTTCTTAGAAATACAATGGACACACACTAATGAGATGCCTTAACCGTGATGCGCAAATAATAATCCCATCGTTGATATTCGAGCAATACAATCAGATGATGACAAGAAAAATAAACAATATTATCATAAATGACCAGTTAGTTGTATGTAAAAAAAACAAAAAGCAAGTTCAAGGGAAAATCGCATCTATATGCCTGAAAGATCTAGCAATGGCTAAAACCGGATATCACTTTCATACCGGGAGTTGTCTATATGTATATTTAATTCATAGGACTATGCAGATACTACAGTAAACCTTGGTTTAGAGTCCTATAAAACACATAAAAATAAAAAAGAAACGGAGATTAACGCTACAAAGATTGAAATCATAGCAATCAATCAATATCCCTACTACTCCCTTCCCTCACCGAAATACTCTAAAGAAAACGAGGGCAATGAATTGGCAGGCGATATTGCACAAATCTGCCGTTCAGCGAAGGCCACAGATTCAATCGCACGCGGGTTTCGCGCCGAGGCGACGAGCGGCAAATTTGCGCAAGGTCCTGTCGGCGGACCTTCTGTCACACCTCAAAATATCTTCTCAACCATTGGTGCTCACTCAATATGGTAAATATACTTTCTCATTTACATAGTAATTTAAACATAACTTTTGAGCTAATGTTGAACTCCGCTTTGGGTTTCGTATAGATCAACATCAAATTAGAAATGGAACTACGTACAATGGAAATATATTGACCAGCATGGAATACCTTGATAAATTTCCCTGTTTACAGTAATACAAGCTCTTGATAGGCGATGTTGTATAATGGAAACATTTAGAAAGAGGGCGAGATCTGATAAGCAGAGAAATCGCCTACTAGCCAGCTTCACATAAAAAGGTTGGCACATATTTAGCTTCATAACAGGATGTGGATGCAGAACGGAAGGCATGCCATTCAACAACCCAACTTTTGAGGAAAGCCCGTGTACCTATATGAGATAAAATTCAGAGGCTACTAGCAGATTTTCTAAACATTCCTCGACATATTGTAATACATACAACAACCTATCAGGCTATGTGAAAATCCCAACTCTAACTTCAGTCCAAAACTAAAATCCAGGAGAGATTTAGCAGAAATGGAGCCAGCACTTAGAGAAGGATTCAAACCTGTAGAAATTTTCTTTCTCCTTTGAGCCGCTGTAGATATCTCTGAACCCCTGAGGGAAAACACTCCTTTGAACTGGAACGGACCACTATTGTAGCGAATGTAATCACTGCTCTTTCATGAAGTCCAATCGCGAAACTGTCGACTGCCCATGAACGGGAGGCTTTAGGCGATGATGCTACTTCGGCGGCCTGATGATCCTATGAAACTCCTTCCATCAATTTCCTTCAGGGAAGTGACATCATCTTGTGATTTTCCTGATCGTCCATTTCGACGTGGCTACTCATCCTCATCACTCGAATCATAATCGGAACAACATGGTGGGTACAGGGTTTCGGGTTCATCCACTATCGCAAATGGGGCAAAAACAGGCGGATCTGACATGTGTAGTCGCTTCACTAACGAACTTTCCACCAATGGCGAAACCTGAAAATGACCAATGGTTGTGATAATAGCCAACTGAACTACTAAATAAAATACTTGGATACAATACAATTCGATTAGAAAAGTTTCCATGGTAAAAAAAGAAAAATTTTCAGAGTTGTAAACATTTCCTCACCGTTCGCTTGCGTTTAGTTGGCGTAGGACGGAAATACGCGTATGGATCCTCCAATAAATCTAACGGATCAATCATCGTCGATGGAGAATTGTTCCTACTCACGAAATAGTGTGTGATGGTATCATCATGAGTACCAACTTGACCTTCCTCATGCATGTTGCGACCCTAAAATTTGGCACTAATAAAATTAGCATCAATGAATGGCTGAACGAAAAACTATCTAACAAAAGGAGTAAGTTCTCCAGGTTTCTAAGACAAAATAAGACTCAGGATGATTGCTCAGAGCGACAAAAAGTTCGCCACAAAAATTGCAGCTCCAAAGGGAACACTCACATCCATTACTACGTACGGGGACAAAGTAAATCTAATAACTACCCAATGAAGCTTCAAAAGTGCTTCATGCCATAAATTGCTTCGTAATGTAGCGAATGAACTGATGCCGATAANAATGCGCTCAAAACGCGCGCTACAACGGAAAGCTGAAAACACATTTATATTACTGGCCCAAAATTGCTAGACCCCAGAACTATACATTCCCAGTTCAGATACACCTGATACAGCTTTCGAATAATTCACTCCAAAATTACTTAAAATTACAACTCGCTCTAGAATCTTTGACTACGACTTGTAAAGCAAGAAAAAAAGGAGAAAAGGATAGAAAACGCCAATATGAAGGTAAATCAAGTGACTTACAGCAACTTCATACTCGAGTCGGGCCATTCCCAAAGAGAAGAACTCTCCAAAATGGTCATAAATAGTGCGTCCTAACCATGAAGGTGATGATGTGGATCTAAAACAAACACAGTTATCAACAGCAAAGGAGAAACTCATTCTGCAGACTGAAGGGCTAAGATTTCTAACCTTTTCCTTCGTTTGATTGGAAGATTAAACTCTCGGATCATTTCCGAACGAGCCGCTCGACAACGACCAATATTGTTGATGGGTTTTAGTGCAGTTAACCTACAAGACAAACTTTGAACCTTATAAGGAAAAAATAAAGAAAAAGTCACGTAGAAAAAGAAAAAGATGCCAAGAACACATCGATTTACCTCTTCTTTTCTATCTCAGCGTACTGTAACACATCACGCAACCATATTGCATACATTGGGATCTTATCACGTTCATCCGGACCAGGACGAGGCATTTCAAGTGATTTATTACTGCTAATCGCTTCGAACCTATTAAGAGGTACGTTATGAAGAGTTCGAAGTAACGGTTTTGTCAAAACGTCAAAAATGTCCATTTGCAAGCTAACCTGGCATTCCTTTTGCGTTCGAAATAATCAACGAGCTGGAACTGGCGAATCTTTTCTCGCGTCTGTTTCCGAAGGTCGAGGAACTCCCCATTAATGTCTGTATCCCTCACAAAGTGGTTCGCATACTCATGAGCTTTCATTCTGAATAAAGTAACTTAATTAGAATGAATGATCTACCTTGAAATGAACAATTCAACATACATATCAATGGTCTGGTACTCAAGAGGCTCATTCTTCTGCAAGAAGCCTGGTAGGGTTTCCGGTGGAGGAGCTGCTTCCAGAGCATTCTCAATCATTGCTATCCAGTCGAGCTCACCAGTCTGAAAAGATCAGAAATCCATGAAACCAGTAACAGCTCTGTCCATAAACGGACCAGCACTTACTTCTGGGGACCTGATGATCTTCAAAGTTTCGATTTGATCGAATGAATTGAATGATGCTGTGGTGATGGTATTTGTTGCTGTTAGACAGTCTGTTGATGCATCGGTTACATTAGAATCCACAGACTTCATTTTCAGTATTCCTTGCTCCGTATCGATCTGAAACTTTGAAGCAATAACCTACTACGACGAAACCTACAATCCACAAATATTTACAGCTGTAAACTTACATTATACCAAATTTTACGTCCAGCTATGGTCGTTGTAACTGTGTCAGACTTTGACTGCTTTCTCTTCTTTTTCGGAATTGGTGATGCAGATTCATCCTCTTCATCGTCATCCTCGTCGTCTATCACAGTAATTCTAGCGGGACTGCTCGGATATGTGATTTCCGTATAATCTTCGACTGTATCTCTGCTCTTCGAATCATTTTGGACTTCATCGTAAGTGGACGGAATCGTCATCACCCAATTCTTCACCAAATCAACAGATTTTTGTATACGGTCGCTTTTCATTACCATGTCCTCCTTTTCTTCAGCTACAGGGGTACTTGGATGGAACACCTGAACATGAACCTTATAAGCTGTCTTAGTAGGTATTCAAGAGTAAGATACTCACCGTGTTCTTGACAGCATCTCCCATCAGACGACGTGCTTCATCGATTAGATCCGGGCCTGGTGTTTCAGCACTTTCATTTTCAACAGTGTTAATGCACACGTTCACCTTGCCACCAGAATAATCGAAAACCACTTGGCCACAAGGATAGTCGAATTCTGCTTGGTTCATCTCTTCTACGTTTTTCGAGAGCTCGTCGAACGCGATGTTCAGCTTAATTAAAATAATTACAAGCCTAATATACAGCAGTTATTCTCAATTACTCTATGACTTCTACCCAGATCGGAACAACCGCAAACCACTTCAGGAGTTTTCTAACGGAAGAATGAGTTCACAGTCCACCCTACTCTTACGTAAGCCAGCTAGGGGGATTGAAGATTCCCACTGCCCTTAAAAACGTTTTCACTCTTCATAAAATCCACCAGATTCTTCCCTACTCATTAGACACTATCATTATCCCTTCTACCACTTAACTACAACTCATTATCTAACGTAGAGCACTATCCATTCATCTAATCATACTCGGCGAGCAGTCAAAGCTCTTGGCATAGACTTCCAAAAGTCACAGCAGAGCTCGAAAATATGTCCAACCCTTCACCAACTGATTACTAGTTGGACTCACTGTAAATCCTCAACTTCTTAACCCTTCTACGACGCTGGCAACATTCTTTCAGTGCACGGAATTAACACTATCGTGCAGGCTTCATGATGTAACGTTTCAAATAATTGTACAGCAAAGAATTTACCTTTCCGATAAGCTTGTCGAGATTCATGATATTATTCCGCATCAAGGATTTGGCACGAGCTTCGTGAATACGTGACAAAATATAAGCCCGAGCAATGGGAGATAGCATAGACAGTTGGTGATGATCCAAATGCATTACATCCTATTAAAAATATTTTTATAAACTGTGTTTTTAGTTGAAAAGGAAAAAAGTAGAAATTCAGTAAAATGCTGCTCACATCCAAGTGTTTGTTGTAGTACGACGACACTTCTTTTTGAATCTGGGACTGGCACAGCTTCACAACAGAATGCGAGGGAAACAGAAACGAGAACGAATCCACGCGATTATTATCTTGTGCTGCTTCGAAACTCAGCAGATGTTCAAGTGTATCAGTAACCAACGACTTTTTACCATCAAGAAGCTTTTCTATCTAAACGCACGAATATAGTGATAATATCATTCCTAAGGAAACTGGAACCACGACAATCAGCACTTACTTCCAGGTCATCCGATGTGAATGAACAGGTGCCGACTTGAAAGAATGGAATCAGATCAATAGTAAAAATCTCTTCGCTCGATTTCGTTGAACGGGCTTTTGAATTCCAATGTGTCATTGATTGTAAACGTTTCAAAGTGTTAGGAATAGCAATCTAAACAATAGGGATACAGTAGTGCCCTGGTAACAAAAAAGGGACCACATCTCTGAGAAAAAGAGGTATTCATACGCACAAGCTTGATCATCGACAAGGCAAGGCCGTACACGTGGTTGTACACCGAGGAAAAGTTGTTTGTTTTCCTGGAATTAACTTAACAAATTAACTATACACTATGTTTTCAAATTACACTTCTGCTAAGAATCGAAACTAACTTATTAGTACTACTTATTAACTTACCTATTCCATTCTTCGAATCTTCTAATATACGAGCAGCAAGTGTCGATTTTAGCCGAAAGTGCAGCTGCCGCATTCATTTCAAAGAGCAGGCAATACATTCGGGCATCAAACTAAAAAATATTCACCTCAAGACTATCAACTTCTTTCATGTACCAGTAATGAAAGGAAAAATGGCTTACGATTTGATGATGCTTCTCCCAAAGCGAGCACTGATACGCGTTAAACACCGCCAATTGCACAGATCTTGCCGTGTACTCCCACATCTCATAAAGGATATCCAACATAAACAATTGTGCATCCATCAAAAAGTGAAGCGACCAGTGCGTTGTGGACCGGATGTTCTGAAACAGGATTTTCTCAGAGATCGAACTTTCCCCAGGGATTCGACTCAGTCAAATACTTACCTCCACGATCGACCTTGCACAGCTGACTTGCTGCAGAATACAGTCAACACCTTTGTCGTACTGAGCAAATGCATTTTCCAGACTGCCTTCGACTCGTGGGCGAGACAAACGAAGAGGCGAAGTAGACTGTAGTGAAACTAACAGCGGACCTGGAAAATTCAAAGAATCGTCACAGAAATGCCGCAGAAACCTGGCAGTATAGTGAATGAAGCAGGACTCGACAGCAGAAATAACTGTCCACAGACAAAAAAGAACGAGTAGCAACAGCTTTACATTTATGATCGAGAAACTAGCATTATAACATACCAGTAAAAACCAGTAAGAACTCACCCATATCGGCTTCACATCTCACAATTGGGTTCATGGGCTTTATCATCGTCAGCTGAAATCAGTAATTTGATGTAATCTAATATGAATTACTCGGATTGAATAGATCACTCACATTGAAATCGGAGATCAAATGGTTACGAGGTCGTGATGCCATAATAGCAATGGTCTAAAAAAATCAATAAGGGCCTAGAAGAACGATATATCTTCAAAGGGGTTTCCAAAAGACTTACAGATCCGCGAGGGCAAGGCGACTTCGCTGTATCCCTCAAACTTCTTCCAAGTCCTGACCAGATTTTCTGAAAAAAAAAANGGGGGGGGGGGGGGGGGACAGAATATGTTGAATGAAGAAACGAGGGAAGGGATTAATTTTATTTACAGCCATATCCATTGTCACATCAAATCTAGTCCGGATATCTTGAAAAAAAGCGAAGAAGCAAATCACCTCTGTGGCCATGAAGCCCTGATCGACATGTATGGTTCCAAGAGCGAGATCCTGAAGCCGATATGTTTCAAGGCGTACTTTACAACCACGTACAACTTGGAAGCCGAATACTGATGCCAACTCTCACCATAATTTTGCTTCTACATAACTCCACTAGCGAGCCAAACTGTCCATGGCATATCTTCGGGTCTTCCCTTCTCCACAATCGATCCAAAGCAGCTTTGACATCAGTTTGTAGAAGCGTGTACTGACACGGTTTTCGCTTTTCAATAGGAGTAAGCGCAAATTCGTCAGCTTGTCCTCGACTCAGTTCTGCAGCACCCCACTTTTGCGGTTTCGAGACCTTAAGGAAAAAAGGTAATGACTAAAAATGCCCCACAAGCTGAAGAAGGAGCTATGAGCTCACACGTACTTTACGTTTCTTCTTCCGAGTACCTTCTCCAATACCAAACAAATCTGGTGATTGTAGATAGCATTGCTCCAGAAACTAAGAAATGAATCCCATTAATTGGTTTGAAACAACCTCGAAGACAGTAAATCAAAAAAAAAAAAAAAAAAGATTTTAAAAAAATCTCAAAACCAAAAATCAAAGCAATGGACTCACCGTGGCTTCAGAAAATCCACTATCAGGCGTATCTTCACTGCGCAGATACTAAAAAAACATGAGTATAACATAAGACTTCACAAAAGTTTTTTGAAAAGCTCGTTAATTATTTCATATTTGGAAAATAATTGTAAATAGAACTATTTCACCAAATAACTTACTTCAGAAATTTTATTGCTATCGGTAACGACGCTAGTACTGTAGTCCACCTACAAGAAGCGTTTTTGAGGAAAATCTGACATGGAAATATTCCAACAAGCAAAATAATACTATACTTACAATCAAGTCCTCGCCAGTCTTCTTCTTCACTCGCTTTCGACGCTTCTTATGGGCGCGCAGGATAGGTCCCAGTGAACACCTTTCCACATTCTTGGATACGGTAATGACATGTTCGACTGTGAACTCTGTTACTCTGCTGGAGCATTCTGTAGCTATTAATTCAGTATCGAGCGATACAAACTCTTCAGCGACTTTTTGATCATATGGTAATATCGCTTCTGGGAGAGGGGTTAGCAAAGAATCTTCCTGCTCCCGTTCTGTAACGGCCTCGTCCAGCAATTCATTTTCCTGTTCTGCTTCACTTGGCTGCGGAGCTGAATATTCAGTTACTTCCATTGGTTCGCTGGATTCCTTGACATCTTCATACAAATCCCCCACAACTGCTATCGGCGTTAATTCTTCGACCTCAGGAGAGGGCACTGCAACAGGAATATCCTCACGAACTTCCAGACTTGTGGCTGTTTCCATTTCGTTTTTACTAATCGTATCCTTGAGACCTTCCAGGACATTGCAGACATCAGCTGCTATTTCAGAATCCCTCTTCTCTGCAGCTTTGTCGTTTGCAGCCACTGTGACCCTACCGCTCTCTTCACTGTGTGGTAACCGTACGCCATCACCTTTTAGAAGGGCTAGATCACTGGGAGACAATTTGGCGTAGGATTTCTGAAGGTCGATGCGTTTTAGTCTCGATATATTCTTCCATTCAATATCTTCCTCAGCCGTCAGCCCATCAGAAGTGTCTTCTGGTGTTGGCGACACAATACGGTCTAACGTAACGGGTGGTTTTTTAGATGGGCAAGTTGCATGGAGATCCACCGCGTCGAATTCTTTCAATGCATTTAGCACTGTTGCTACATCTGTGGGGTCAGCAAGAGCTAGAGCACAACCTGTTGTGACTTCGGACAAAGCAGCCGAATCCACGTTGGCACATGACACTGTATGCGATGTATCACCTTTAGCTTGCGCTTTTCTAACAGTAGATCGCTTACTGAGAGCTCTGAGAGACCAGTATTCTAGCAGTGGAAGTGGAATAGTTTTTGAAGCAGATAGGCGAGCCCTTTCAAAGTCGTACTCATCCAACTGACCTTTGGCAAGACCGGCGATTTGTGGGAACAATGAGGAATGGGATTCAATGACGTTGAGCATTGCCTTCTCACGATTGGGCACATTTATTATCCATAGTACCTCGGCGTGCGACCCGCTTCTGGTAAAACGTTTCCTTATCGTACGAAACGAAGTCTTCCACCGTGTTGTTATGTGACCGTAATCAGCCAAAGAGATTTCCGCGTGTAAGTAATCTTTCAGCTGTTCACTCTTGTCAGGAGCAACCAAATCAAGATGTACCCCCTGTGGTAGAGATAGGCGATATGCGTCAGCTCCAGGAATAGCAATAGTTACCAGATGGCGATAGTGTTGATCTTTACGGCAGGCTTCAAAATCGACAGTATCTGCAAATTCGATTGGTTCGCGCATGACAGGCTGAAGATCCAATGATGGGAATTGNTCCGTAGCACTCGTTGTTTGTGTATCGTATTCGTCTGGAAGTGAGGGATAAGTCATGCCAGCAAATTCAGCTTCGATCTCCTCCATCAGTTCCTCAATAGTTTGCGGACCTGGCGCAATGTCAGCGGGGTTTTCGTCAGGATATGTCACGAAAGGTTTAACGAATTGTTGCGTAGAGCTGAGATTTTCACCAGTTAAGGCACCTTGGGGCGTGCCAGCATGTAGACTCCCATCCTCCGATGTAGGAACGGCTTGACTGCCTTGAAGTGAGAGCTCCATGACATCGAGCATAGTTTCGACTTTATTACACACATCAACCGACGAATCTAGCAGATTGCCAAGTTGTGCTGGGGCTGGAGCAGCTACCGCTTCAGCATTCACGTGACGTTGACTATCATCCAACGACAAACGATGGGCTGTTGTCGCGACCAGCTCCTCAACAAAATCAGTGAATTCGTCCTTAGGTTGCTCACGATAATCCTGTACAGATGGGATGGAAGTGACGACATTTGACGTTGATCCTGGAACACTTGCAGCCTTCTTCTGCTCAGCAATCGCATTGGTGGCACGGGTTCGAGTACTTCTCCTTCTCGGCGAAGTAGAGCTGCCAGGTTCCCCGAAAAGTTCTTTGAATTTCTTCTTTATTTTTCGAGAAGGTGTATCGGTTTCATCCCCTGAGGCTGATGAGTCGAAATTTTCGGTTGATGAGAAAAACGGATCGACATTTATATCTACCAGATCCTCCTCGTTCAAATTGACATCATCACAGCTCACGCTCGTTACCTGAAAATAGCAGCGCCAATCTCGTAACAAAAATCTGGATGGTTGTTAAAATATGGGCACAACTTACTTCTCGTTCCCCAGAACTTGAGCCAGAATGCCTCGCTCGTTCTGTCGCCTTCGGTGATCGTCTCTTCGGTGAAGCATTAATCTTAAAAAGGAAATTAACTCGAAAAAATAAAAAGCACCAAAGTATTAGTTATGACATGGCAATCTGACAATACAAAAACGCATTCAGAGAAAAAACTGACAGCTTCAGCTCTCCCGGAAATTTGCAAAGATTCTGTTTGCTCCGATAGCGACGTGACACTTTCCTTTGATGCCTGCTGTGCGTTTTTCACCGGTGTTACAATTATCGTTGATGTGTTCTCGGCAATTTTTCGGGATTCAGCAGCATCCTTTAGATTCAACTTTCGATTAGTAGTGCATTGTACTTTAACCACTAATGAAGGGCACACCTTTGGTAAAACTGGGCTATAATCAATCGGGCCAAAGGAGACATCACTACCACTCAGCTCCTCCGACTTTTCATCGAACATATGCCGTTGTTTCTGCAAATGGGAGGAAATGATGATTAGAATGAAGTCGAAGGATAAGTAAAATGATAGAAGAAAGACAAAGACTTACATTCCATGTTCGACCTCTACGCTTTGTTCTCGATGGTGGCGGCGGTGGAGACTGGAACAACAAATTTTTGATGCACTGACCACCAGATGTGTTTTCAAACAGTATAGATACATTCAATACAGCCTATACAAATATTTATGCAATGATTTCAAACGTCCAAGCTCACCTGCTCTCGAGGAGGTGCATGCAGAGCACGGTATTCCTGCCTTTTAGATGGTACGCGTCCTGGTAGGTGTTCCCAACAACGACGATTCCGTGCCCTCACCTGGAAAATATTTTTAAATAGAAGCCAACCAGTGGGAAAAAAACACATATCAGTAGCTGAACACACCAATTTTCTCGGCTTGAGCTCTTCCAGTGAAACCTGGGTTACCATTTCTTTTAGCACTTCACCGACCTCATGGAGCAAAGTCGCATCAAGTGTGGCCAAGGTATCCACCACCTGAAGTGATTGTACTACTAAGAGTACAAAATCTTGAACTGGGAAATCTAAAACGTTAAACTGACGATTGGGGCTTCCTCAGGTACTTCGACTGATGGATCGTCTATAACCTTCAGCGCCAAGTCTAGCACAGGTAGTTCTCTCTGCTTGATTGCTACCTTCTCGGCTATCTCGGCATCACGAATAGCTTGCTTTTGCCTAGCCAGTCGTCCTCGGAACTTCTTCGGTGGCCGCCCAGCTTTCTGTAAAGCGAATTGGAGTAAGTAAAAGTACGATTCAATCACAGCACGAATAATAACTCCTCCATTCATGAGTGTGTAATGGTAAGCACCTCTATTGATGGTTATAATAAAATAATAATAAGTGAAATGATCTTTGAAGCAGAAAGACGAGCTTAATAATTGTGATTGACCAATAACCTTCCAATCATTCACCTTCCGTTCACCAGGCGACATCTCTTCCAATTCTGAAGGCTCAGGAGGAGGAAGAGAGGAGATGAGCTCTTTGATGTCCTCTGACAGCCTAGCGTCTTCGGTGACAACATCGATTATCACATTTTCTGAATCTTCCTCCTCTTTTTTCATCAACCGGCGTCGAGTTGCCTCCTATAAATATACATTTACAGGCGTGTATATCGAGACAAAAAAAAAACTTTTAAGATCAAATCCAATAAAAACAAGAATCATTTTCATTGCTTCACCTTTTCTTGCTCTTCCGTCTTGGTAGTTTGAGGAACTTCACATATCCGAGACAACAGCTTCGGCGTGCGCTTAAACATAATGGAAGATTCAGAAAACAGAAAATAAAAATGTTTCATTTTCCAAGTGAAACCTCACCGTTCTGCTTCTCCTATAGTCCATCACACCAGAATCTTGGTCAACCGCTACAATATTACGTGAGCGCCGGCTTTGAGATCTTCCCTGAAGAAGGAATAAACAATGCAACTTATTTTGCTTTATTACCATGAACATTTTTGAAACAAGAAACTAACCTTCTTTTCCGGTGCATGATCGCTTATCTGAAAATATATTTTTAAAACTGTTTTCAGGAACATCATAGAAACACTTTTTGCTATGTATTAAAATGGAAATAAAAAATAAAAAGGTATTAAAGGTACAAATAACCGTACCACAATGATATCATCATTATTATCCGAATACAGAACATCTTTCCGTTTAGTTCTCACTTTCATGGATGATTCCATTCGGCCTTCTTGACCACGCTGAAAGAGAAGCCCGATTACTCTACTCAGACTACACGGGTTACATTTTCGGTGCATTACTCACCTCAATGGAACCTTGCCTTTGCGGGACCACTGTAGGTGTGTGACTCCAAGGAGCCACAGATGCTTGGGAACGTTTCCACTGTAGCTCAGACTGTGTTCCCGGTCGTTTTTCTTCTTTTCGACCCATGGAATGCATTGCATACACGGCTCCTGCAGTTGGTGCACGAGTATGCTCCTGAGTTGCAATTGCCTTTCCATCTGCTCCAAGAGGGGGTAAACGAAGTTTTGTCATAGCCTTCGCTGTACGACTACTAACAACAAGAGTTCCGTCCGGTAATCTTGTGCAACGTCGCAAAAACCCAAACTCGTCCCTTACTTGTACAATCCGCTTCTCACCCTTTTGCTCACGAGATTCCGAAGAGGCTTTAGCACTGGCTGGAGCAGTGTTTTGATCTGATGCCTGCGGTTGTTTTCTTTGCGCTACCGTTGTTGATGTTTGCTTTGCCACCGTCGTAACCGTCGTAGCCGTCGTAGCCGGTGCTTGCAACTGTGTTCGTGAAGCATCGACTACAACGGGGTCATCATCGACTTGGATAATTTCATCTGTGTCGTCATCTGCACTGCTATCTACCCGCCGTGATTCTGCTGCTGCTGTTATCGGTCGTCCACTTGAAGCACTTCGTCGGTAGCTACTTGATGGGGTAGCAGTACGACCACTTGAATGGCTTCGAGGATACACGTGGTCGTTTCGTGTTGTTGGTAAAGCAGTCATAGTAGTCCCCGGATGAACACCAGGTCCTTGCGGGAATTCCGGAGCAACGGCATCTTTCAACAACGGTGCTCGGGAACTAGCCGAAGTCGACGGTAACAGCTGATGTTGAGCACTGATGGATGCAGTTGAATTAAGGGTGTACCGTGGAGCTTGATCTATCCGCGATACTCGTGCTCCTGGGACTCGGTTACCAGCAATCCAATTTAACTGATTCGAAGCATTAGGACCTCTCCTAGCAGAATCAGCCATCTCTCGAAGTGTGTGTACCGGACGCGGAATGTATCTGAGAAAAGAATGTGAAGAATGGACAAAACTGACACAATCACTGGACTTACCGTCTCGCTGCTTCAACAGTTGGTGGACGTGCAACGTTTGGGAGACGTAAATTCTCTAGTGAAACGACGTAGCGACCAGTCGAAGGATCGATGACCGGCTGAAAATTTACGAGTTAGCTCTTGAAACTGGGAGCCCTTGAATCATCAACTTACTTCGACAGCTCTATTTGCTATCATACGTATGGCTTTGGTTGCCATTGATCTTTGATGACGTAGGGTCCTGCAAATCATTAGAATGGATACGAGTTGTTTGGGGAAAAATAGGTTGCACATACTTGGAAGGACCGGGCGGCACCCGACAGACAAGGGAGCGTGGATCGGATGACTCTGATGATGGGACCTCCTGAAATTTTCGGAGAAAATAGAGTCCCATACAAATGTAAACAGCATCTAAGCTCAACCTCGAGACCCGGAGCTCTCACCTGATATTGTGCTGGGATCGCCTCACGACTAACAAAGGCATCGTTCACGACTCGCTTCATATCTACCCTTTTGTTGTGCTCAAATACTTCAACTCGAGGAGCACCAACTTCTTGTGGAACAGCGATTGACTATAAAATGCCCTTAATATTTAGTTACTGGAAGACTGTTGGTATTGTAACTTACCTCATTCAAAGTGGTCTCATCATTCACTGACACTAATCTTGAAGTAGATGAGCCTGGATGTACAACAACGGCTGCTGGGGGCACTGTATGTTTTGAAGGACCTGGCTTCGACTGACTATATGCAGCTCTCAAAGGTTGGAAGCCTTTAGGTATCCCCTGTAACGAAGCGTATGAACCCACGATTTAATCTTGGCCGTCGCACAGTACAGTAGAAGTGATAGGTCGAAAAATTAAAGGGAAATACACACCGCGGCCTGAACCTTTTGCTCCTCAGCATAGTTAGGTGGAGGTTTCGGTGTAGCTTTTCGACCTCGTTTGACAACCGGCGCTTTTCCATGACTTCCACCAGATTGCGCATAGAAACTGCAGAAAATGCTTTTGAAAAAGTACAGGTACAAGACTATGACTCGAAAACCATACCATTTTCTTTCAAAAATACGCATCAACCTATTCGACAATTGGCGAAACTCCTCGCGCATTTTATCGTCCCATCTGAATGTAACGTGCTTTAGAGTTAAATGATGAAAGGTAAATAGTCGAAATCACTTACTCATCATAATCCGGGAACAGTGGGAATACCTTCCCGAACTGGATGTCTTGTATGTATCGTGTCTGATCTAAAGAACGATATCATAACCACATTCGAACTCGATTTCATAACCGACTGATTACTAGTAATCTATCACCACTACGATGTACATGTTTACTGAGATCTGGCACGATTTAATTCAGCTCAGAATACAACCCTCTACTTCGTAGGAACACCGTTTGATGGCTCACGAAGCAGAACGGAAACAGCGATTGAACTAGTATACAGTTGGCTTACCATGACTAGGACGATCCCGTACATCGATTACCGTTCGGAAGAATCCATGAATATGGGCTCCTCTCGAATGAAACCGATACAGGTCACTGGCGAAGGCTTCAACTGGCTTATATCTCGTGTCTGCTTCCAAAACAGCAACATTTGCGAACGGGAAGTACCGATCGCAAGCCTTCTTATAATTGATAAATAGATACTCTTTCTTCTCTGTAGGCGATAGATTCGGTGGAAAATATGCTGAAACAAAACAAGTGGAGATACGACTTTGTTAAGTTTTAACTGCTACCGTAGCTGAAAAATCACACTAGGACCTCAACAGTTACTTCATAAAAGCTCCGCCCCTAAAGAATGACCCTCTGCCGAAAGAGAACTCCCTTCCCTTCTAGGAATGAAGAAAGCAATAACGCTGTAATGATCCTTACTTTACTGGGGAGACTCACCCAAAGGTCATACCTATGCTCCGATCGAAACCATCACTCCGACAAGGTTGGGGCTACACAGTTCGACAATTGCAAAGACCCATGAAACTGGGGGAAAGTAGTCATAACTCCCCTGTTTGGGCACTCTGTTGGGGTTTCAGTAATAGTGTAAAGATGACAGTAAAAATTGTATGAACTGACGACGTTGGATGATCCGTGGAGGGGGTAGGGCCGATTGCGAGAGCTCATCATCGTTCGAGTTCAGGATCGCTTCCCGTTCTTGTTGGCCTCCGATAAAGTATTCATGATCTTCTAACTGCACACCATCCCAATCTCCTTCATCGTGCTCCTATAGAGATACGGTAGAACGTGGGAATCATGAAGAAGCTAAAGGTGAAGAAATACTACCGTACCTGAACTAGATAAGCGAGCGAATCATCCTCTAGTTCTCCATATAACGATCGCCGAGGTTGTGATTTAGACCTCGATCGTAGATTGGGAACACGTCGAGTGGTTTGCTGTTGCGGTATCAAAGCCTGATTTGATGGTCCCTCAAACATGGCCATCGGCCTCACGTCATACTGTATGGGCTGATCCTGTTCTATTTCGACTGTTTGGGATGTATGTTGAACGATATATCGTACACGAGCTGGTCCAGGAACCGTCATCATCGGTTGGGACTGAGCTTGACGAACAGTTTGTCGGGTTGCAGGTTGCACATACGATCGGGTATAGCTCCTAAGAACTGGCCCTCCGGGTACTTGCTGGATATACTGCTCAGGTTCTACAGACGTCCCTAACATCTCGTCAACAACGACTTCATGAGCTGCAACTTGTAAGCTTCCGACGCCACTTCTCATCAATTCTACGTCTCGTTCCTCATCAGGGAGAAGGTACACCTCCTCAATCTGACCAGGTTGCTGCAAAATTGATATTTTTCTATGGAAAAAAATTCGCAAAAAAACTTATTTGAAGAATTTGTAAAATTTGAATACCCGAATAAATGACTCTACCTGATCAATATCACGTATTTCACGATAATTTCCATATTCATCTTCGTAAACCTGTTCCGTTATAGGCTGTATCCACATATTATCATCTGTTACCATATATTGTGGAAAAGGACCTTGTGGTTGCGTGACCACATCTCTACTTGTCCCCGGTTGATCATGTTCAGGGAAGTAGACGTTCACATCGGACGCCGCCAACCCTTGTCCTCCAGGATCAATGTTGGGGTCATTTGACATTCTGTAATGATAAGATTTCGTGAAAAATACCATGTCATCAATGAGACATTTCATTTTCCCTTCATGAAAAACATAGTACGTCATTGCTGATAGACGAACGATTAACACCGATTTTTCCATGATTACCATGCCCTAAGCGCGTTCGCGTGGGCGACCCATGTAAAATGAATTATACCAGGGTTCCAGCTTAGTAAATGGGTAATTCACAAAATGAACCTGAGTATTGACCACCCAGTTAAGCTATAAAAATAGGAATTACTTTGAAAGGAACCAAAAGAATCATTGCGAAAATACCTTAAAATGTGAAACACGACGCGCGCCGTGGTCGCGTCTGAACCCAGGCCTGTTTCAGAGGGTTTTTGGGGGATTTTTCAAAAATTTCAAATATCTACGGGTACGTCACCATGCTGCCGACAAAATGACACCAAAAACTGACCTTAATAATTACTCTAAAAAATAAAACAATAAAAAATGAATGTATGAAAGCGGAGCAGGCGGCGGTTAGGGCAAGCCAACGCTAAAGATGCCAGACATGACGATAGAGCACTTACCATCTGAGAGACATAGAGATGTGATAATCGTGGACAGACGCCGTTGACGGCAGACTTCGAGAGGAATCGGTGGACGAGACATCACGGCCAGACAGGAGGCGTCGTCGGCGAGCGGTCGTAGAGCGTCAACGACAAGAGGGAGCGCCAGCCGCATGCTCGCGACGACGGTGTCGCCAGGAGGTCCTGCAAAGAATTTACATGAAAGCAGAGATCGTAATTGGTGATTTGAAGCCACCAACTACGTCGTCATCTGCAGTAGCACACGCTCTGCAATGTGAAATGAAGTGGTCTACGATTACAAAAAATTAGTCCCGAAACCCTGGCTCATTTAGCCCTCATCTAAATCCTTCTTAATCTGTGGAACAATCTCACTGCCCATTGAAGTGTCCGCGACGCGACCGCACGCCCTCGAGGGACAAAAAACCCTCGCCATGGTTACGCCAATAGGTTTCCTTCATGTCCGCTTTTCGCATATTCGATTACTACCGGTAGCCCTTCAACATATAATGATTACCGATGTAGAATAGACGTGACTGGTAAAGATGCCCAAATATTATCCAAAGTCAAATCCTCTAATCACATCTCCTTTTTCGGCTTTTTTCGTCGTTAAGGTCTTGCTACGCTTTTGTGCTCAGTACCATTAAGCAGTACAACAACTGTAAGCGGAGTTGGGCTAGTGCCAAGCGGCACTTCTGCCATACATATGGTCCGGAAATTAGTTCCAGGAACGATGCCCGTCGGGATCGGGCATGCTTTACACCTCTTCATTGCGCCATGAGTTGGCCCCATGGAGTGGGCTCGTATGGGAGGGCAAAATAGGGCGGTCCTGAATGGAACCCGCAATTTTGATTCGAAGATTATCGTTGTTTTAGTTGGTCCGTCGCAAAATTGCACCATTTCATCGGTGTCCTCATTTCTGAGGGGATACTCTTAGTCGAGTCGATGTGAAGCTTTTCTGATGTCACATCAAATTTCATCAAAAGGGCGTCGGAACTGGTGCAGCGGGAGCCCTCACGCCCGTATCTTTCGGGATGAACTGAGACGATGGGGTGTGGCAGGTGGCGTTGCGTCACCGTGGTCAGGATCGAATTCCGCCAGGAACTTCACTCCTTCCACCGCCCCAGTGATTACTAATCATGTCCCAGGCTGACAATGAACTCGTCTGACGGCATTAATACGATTAATTGTTTTTTGTGTAGCTCCACGAATCAGGGTATTGGTGGAATCAGGTCTGAGTGCGTCCACGAATCCAATTAAAAGTCGGACACATGGCGTATCCTGGAAAGATAGGGGAAGCTTTCCGACGTCCGGCATTTAATATTCTCCATATTCAACGACTTCCTCAGGAATGCTGACAAATTGGAGCTTCGTCAAATATTCATTTCATCCGCCCTTCCTTCATGATTCATTGCATGGCTGTGCTCGTTTCGGCATCCTTTCAGTCTTGCCGTGCCTTCTTTATCTATTCTAGCGAACGCTACCACAGGAATGCTTGATTATGATCATTGAATTCCCAAGAGTGTACCTTCAGGAGAAGAAAATGAGGGATCTCATAAATGGAAGCCATAACTTGAACTTTCACGCATCAGTGTAGCCCTGAAGATGAAGTCATTGGTTTTTGGCCATCTCCAATATTCATAAACAAGTTCCTCAAGGAGCATCTGTGAAGATCAGCAGCTGTTGACCACAGACATTGCTATGTCGTGAAACGTTTATCCTTCCGGTCCGTGTCAGAATTCGTTCGACTGACTGATCGCATTCCATTTTTGGGGTGAGCCCGGTATTCCGCCTCCTTTCAATGTGATTGTGTGTTTGAATGTGTAGTCTCGGTCTAGGATCGACCAGCCGATCGATACTCTTCGGGACACCGAGGGGTAGAAGGCTCGGCAGGCTTGAAGAGTATCCATTCGGGATTGATCCCAGTATCACGTCTTCCAGTAGTGCAGTACCACAGTACTCCACTGCTGGATTATAATATAATTGGAAGGTTTCGAAACTTTGTTCAGCTGGCTAAAATCGAAGACAGCTGAACTTGTAGGTTTTATAGCTTTATTGACATATGCACGTGTTCAAAAATTTGGTACCCGATGCTGCCAAAGCCCTTGTCGTCAGCTCACCGTTTTGATTCCGGATGGCAGTCGGCTATCGGGAATGGACCATATCAGAAAAACAGGAAAGGTCAAGGCGGCACAGGAGGTGGGTTCCGCTTCATTGATCCCGTATGTGTCAATGGCCTCTCTGTTGGAGTGCTATCGAGCTAAATCTGCTACCTACAGGTTCCGCTCCTCTTATCCTTGGCAGATGCGGACCGAGAAGGATTTCAGACCGCTTCGTAGTAGTATATAGTTTTGGATGAATCGCATTTGGAGCAGCCGTATTGCCCCATCTATCAGTGCCGTGCTGAGGGACAAGTTTCCCAGAGAAGCACCCCTGTGCTACAGTACGTCCTCAATCCTGTATGGGCATTGCGGGCTACTTCCCTCTATTTGCTACCGCCTTCCGTCGGAACGGCTTTCAATGTGCCAATCAACTCTGAAACGAACGCCGTCTTTCCGTGGTCCCACAGAATGCTTAATTGGGAATCGGAGAAGCTCCACAGAAACTAGGAACTGCTGATGAAAATGAGCAGTATCTGCTTTTACCACAGATTCTAGTTGAAGTTGTTTTGACCATTCAGAAATGAAGTCAGGTATCTAGGATCGATCACGCTCTGGAATGCGCCCGAGCATTCGACTCCCATGCAGAACTGTGGTAGAATTTGAAAGCGTTTCAATCCGAGCATGGGCGATAGGTACCATGCGTTACCGCCACGCTGCACGCGGCGACCGCTTTGTGAACCTCGAGTCCAGGGTTCGGAATGAAGGGTCCTGACGCGATTTCCGGTTTCTAATTGCCGCCATGTGGTGAACCGGTTTCGACATAATAACAAACAGAAAGACTTTCTCCCTACACCCATATAAAGCCAATACAATGGCAATCCAGGGATGGGTCGATGAACGAACTAGCATTTTCATCCTCCGAAACAAATGTAGTACCAATTCGTTAACATTGAAGAAATCCAGGATCTAGTCCACCTTTACCACACGCGTGAGAAGGATGTCCTTCAGTACTACACCACCTTGACCTCTGGCATTACCAACCCTTCTGGGGTAACAGTTTAGTAATGGAGATTCGGGAGACTCATTTGTGATTAGCAACTCGCTTTCGAGCGTAGAGTATTTTGGGGCAGTCATTTGCAAGTGAAATGAGATCTTTCTCGTCGTCAGGGGCCATCTGCCACAATTAGGCTTGTTTGCGGGCTCAGGTCAATGAATTAGCCTATTAGCCACTTGCCCAAAGACCACCATCGCCGCCAACAGGGAACGAGTGACTAGTTTAAGTTGCGATGGGTTGCAAGGAGGAAGAGGGAAAAGATCGCCTTTTACTCCAAGACAGGGGTCGAGATGGTGAAGCGGTTCGACCTGGCGTCTATCATACCTTCAAGACATCAGATTGAACTCCATGAAGGCTATCAAACTAGCCCCTACAATTGAGTGGAAGAGGACAGGTGTTCCTAATAGTAAAGATGATAGGCAAGTATAAACTTATGCCACTCTAAGGGAATGACTTCACCTAGGGGACCGAAGGTTCTATGCCGGCACTCCTCTCTTCATTGTGACAATCTGTTACAGAGTCCAAGCGGTGGGCGGAGCTCTAGTAAGGAGGAGGAGCCCTGTCGTAATATAATAAGACCCAAGGGTGCTTCAGTGTTGTTTCTCATTGTGAGAATGTCTCATTTCATCGTCTTCAAGTCGAAGGCAATTCATCAGGCTGTCTGCAAACCTAGCTCATTAAGAAACACTGGACCTATTCATGGCTTAAGCCGGCGATCACCTAAGTGCCTTTATCCTCCAGTCCCCACATCTGATTATAACCTTTGATACGGCTCCAACATCGTATTTCTAATGAGCATCTGATGACATCTACGTGGATTAGGAAGGCTTAACGCCAAGAGGAAATTGGTCTATCGGTACTTCGCTACGCTACCATTCCTCTTTGTCGAAACAGTCCTCATAACCGACTGATTGTGTGCTCCTGCTGACTCGGCATGAAAACTGGTATTACCTTAATATACTGACAAGGCCTAGTTCCAAAAAAGGGAGCACATGAGAAGGGTGCACCTGAGACAAGCAGATCTATGCCGCAGTGAGCGACACGTTCGGGTGGGTGTCCTTAAGCCTAATATTCAGCCAAGGTTGTTCAGCCAACTGAAAAGTTTTCTTTCAAAGCAAGCGGCACTAGAAGAGCATTCAAATGACTTCGAATTACTGCATCTACTCCTTCAAATACTGCAGTAAAGCGTTCAGCCATTAAGTTATCAGCTTTTCCTATGCAGGCCTGTTCGGCTGGTTGTACGAATGAGTTTGGCCCTATTTGTCCCAGTGGTTCCCCAAGGTTTAAGGAAGAACTAAGGCACTATTAGGGTTTTTCCCTTGTCCAAGCTAGTCGGATGGGAGGAGTGTCGCATCGCAAAATATGGGAAGCTGAAAATGGGAGGAATAGGGGGTGGAAGTGGTGGAGTTGAGATAAAGGTGTGATGATGAGCCACTTTTGTTGGTACGATGTCGGATCCTGATTACATGGGCCCTGTTTAGGTTCTCTGCACTGCTGCTCCTTGGTCTAGTCCGCATTGGCAAGCAATTTGTGTTTGGCACTCAGCACCTCTCCACTTGCCACACACACATCTATGCGAAATGGTTCGGCGCACATGAGTAGGATAACATAGAAGGCACCAAGGTTGTCCACGGAAAACGCATTACGACTAATAATCACACAGCTTCATTAGATTGCCCCGGGAAGATGATTCCGCTGGCTGGCAGAGAGGAAGGGTGACGGGGGCGATGGGGATGTCCGCCGAGTAATGAGTAGGGTTCAGCAATCAAGTTTTTTGAGTCATTTTCTCCGGTAGATTTAGCCAAGGCTAGGAAAGATAGCATGGATGGACTGAACTGGACGAGGGGACGGAACATTCACCCAGAACTGGATGGACGCGGCAAACCGCGCGGCAAAATTCGTGGTGTTCAATACGACTCTGGCGCCTATCATTGGGGCACAAATTTGAAGTGGGATAGATAAGAAGCATCAGCTGGCCCTACATGTCTAATCTTCTTGAAACCCGGGCTTAAATGATAGGTGCCAAAGCCGTTTCAATCAAGAATTTCG